CCCCAGACCCCCCCTCCCGATGAGTTACAGTTTAGTTCGTACAAATGCCCGATTTGGGGAATGTCGCAACACGCACACACCACAATCTCTCTGGAGAGCTGTCTCTTACCGGCTCCGGGCCAGGAAGCGGCGCGCACTTAGACGCGGTGGCCTGCCACGCTTTGGGAGCTTCAGATCCGAATATTTTGCAGCGTGTGGTCCGGTCAGGAACAGTCCTTGACTCGCGGGTGTGACTTACCTACCAGTATCCATGGCATTGAAGTGCTATGATATGGTTAACATGTATGTCTCCGGTAAGATTCTAGCGGCTTTGGCATGGACAGCCTCAATCTATTCCTAATTTTCAGGACCACGGACAACTATTTATTCCGAGTTCGGAGTATATTCCGCAAAAAAACTCATTGCGCTCTGGCTAGATGTCTTGTCTGGCGCCGTACTGCCGACCCCCCTGCTGCTAGTGGGCACGGTTGCTATACAGGTTTTCGGGGGCCATCCATCTACCTATCTACTTGTTTGCGCCTCAGTCCCCTGACGCTACTACTGCAACCCCGCCCCCCGCCCCGCTGCATTGAATGTCCTCAAGCTTAAGAGTTGTTCCTCGCTCCGTAGCCCCCCTTGTTTGGCGGCATACCCTCTCTCCCTCTTAAGCCCCCTTCCCCCCCTTGGGTGCCTTCAGCCGGCTTACAAGACAAGACCTACCTCCTGGGGTTGTTCATCATCCTTCAGACCATCGGCACGGTGTTGGTTTGCCTGCGGGGCTTCTCACTGTTTCTGCTGATGCGGGTGTGCCAGCTGGGGGCGGCGGTGGTGCTCAGGTCCGCGGTGTTCAGATACCTGGTGAGGAAGGGGCGGCAGGGAGGGCACAAGTTAATGATAGAGGGTAGATGCGCCAAAGGAGGGCCGCTCGTGGGCGGCCCCCTCCTAAACCTAGCCCTCCTAACCCTAGCCCCAACCCCAAACCCATCCCCCGGAAGAGGGGCGGAGGGTTTATGGGGGTAAGTGGGGGGTTCCGGCCAGGGACACGAGCGGTTGAGAGGTGGGGAGTAAGCAGGTAGCTAGGTAGCTAGTTAGGTTTCGAGGTTGGCAGCGAGGGAAAGGTCGGCCACCGTAACGGACGGGTCGAGAACACCTTCACCATAGATTTACTCCTCTCGTAACCCCCTTACCTTTTCGACCAAGCACCTCTCCATCCCTCGTCTTGAGTACTCCGCCCACCTACCTGCGCCTCCCCGCTTCTCCAACGGCAAACCTCACCCGCCCCTCGGCCCCCGCCACCTTACCCCCTACCTAAACCCGCCTTGCCTACAGAAGCTGATGCTCTCCGCGGGCGACTTTGCCCAGCTGGAGACCATGTTCATCGGCTTTTGGTCGTACATTTCAACCATGACAGGATTCTGTGGGGTGCTATGTGGCAGAGACAGCAGTGGGCCAAGAAACCCCACCAACACAGCCGTGCCCAGTCGGGCTGGGACAGATGAACTGCTGGATGCCGCTGGGTTGGGGATGGGAGGGGAAAGCGGAAGTCCGTCAGCAGGTCCTCAGGGCGCTGTGGCTGGGGAAGGGCAAGGGGCGACCAACAACAGCAGCAGTGGCAATAGTCCTCCGCAACCACCGCAGCAGCAGGGCGAGGGACAGGGCCAAGACATTGCTCTCCAAGGGGCTCCTGTGGTGGGCCCCAGCGGCAATACTACTACCGCGCCCCCAACACCACCCGCACCTGCACCTGCACCCACACCCGCACAAGCAGCTCCAGCCAGGGGAGCTGCGGAGCTGCAGTTCGGGGGGGAGCAGCCGGTGGGGAGTACTGGGCTAGCAGCTGCTGCTACCCGGCCATTGGCCACAGATGCTCCAGCACTTCATTATCACCAGCAGCAGGGGCCTGTTTCCTGGGTCGCTCCGCCAGCCATATCAGGTGCAGCTTGGAGCCAGGGGAGGGTGGCACGGCAGCAGCAGCAGCAGCAGCAGCAGCAGCAGCAGACCCTGCTGCTACTCGGATCCGCGGCAGGGGAGCAAGTACCCAGACCCACCACAACGGATGCAAGGTTATGGCGCAGCAGCACTGTCCATCCACTGCAGCAGATGGCAGCGACAACGACAGGGCCGGTGGCCGTGGTGACCGCTGCTGAGGCTGGTTCCATGTCTTCCCTGCGAGTACCAGCTGCCGGTACAGCTGGTGGGGCGATTCATAGCAGGGGCAGAGGCAGCTCAGCGACTGCCTCACTGGCACCGGCAGCAGCTGGTTCAGGAGGTCCGCCGGGGGTCGGGGCAGAGATGAGCTCAGAAGGCCATAATGTGGGCTCGATCCTGTCGGTTGCAACAGTACCTGCTAGTGCCGCTGGTTCCCCTCAGCTGCAGCGACTACGCCAGCAGCTGCAACTGGCCTATTACCGGCAGCGTCTTCGACAGCAGTTCCACATGCTTCACCAGCATCAACCGCCCCAGCAGCACCAGCAGCACCAACAGCAGCAGCACCAACAGCACCAACAGCACCAACAGGAGCAACAGCACCAGCAGCAGCAGCATCAACAGCACCAACAGCACCAACAGCATCATCATCAACAGCACCAACAGCACCAACAGCTTCATCATCAACAGCAGCAGCAGCAGCAGCAGCACCAACAGCAGACGCGAAGCGAGGGGCCGTGTGGAGGGCAGCCACCTGCATCCACCACTTCGGGACTACAAGTGGTGGACAACCTCCACCCGCCCCACCATCAGCAGCAGCACAACAATCAACAGGATCAGCAGGCAGGACGGCACTGTTCAACATGTATGCCCCCACCCGCAGGAGAGGCGCACGGATCCACACAGCTGCTGGCTGGGGCTGGGGCTGGGGCTGGGCAGCTGTCCCGGCAGGGAGACCATCATCCAGGTGAGGCTGGCTGCTGGTGATAATGGAGCAGGGGATGGATTTAGCAGCTGAGTAGCCGCTGAGAAGGCCTCTTGAGAGCGCTTTAACGTGTTATTTATAGGCGACATGTGTGCCGTACTGTACGACAGCTACTACATTGGGGACGGTGCTCACTGTGAGGGTGGATGGAAATATGCTGGCGGGTTGCAGCAGTTTTACTTCCTGTGATGATGCTTACACGGATGGAGACCAGCTATGCAGCAGCGATGCCAGCCCGCAAAGACAGCAGGCGAGACCACCAAAAGCCCTGTTCGCTCCAAGCACGGTCAAAGAGAGAACCCCTGCAACCGCAACCTTACAGACACAACAATAGACAGCAGCGAGGACACCGCAAAAAGGCAGGACCGGGGCAAGCAGGAAGTGAGATGTTTTACGGAACTCGAACCCCCCCTAGGACATCCCTACGATCAGACAGGGCAGCTGGTACCTTCCCTGGAGAACCTCAGCTTTCCCGGCCAAAAGCAAGCACGAAATCAAACCTCCAAGCAAGCAGCTCCACTGTAAGGGCAACACCTCCTACCCCGCCGACCCAAACGAAGGAAACAGGGTTGCAAGGTTCAGGCGGCCAAGGCAAAGAGCAGCAGAGCTGACAGATGTCCAAACTCTGCAGCAAGAAGCAAGCGCCCGCCCAAGGTGTCCAGATGATGAAGAACATCAAAGACAGATAGACAAGTAGCGGAACAGCCCACAATCGAGCAGCAGCTGATGAGCAAGAGCTGCGAGCGGGCGCAGCTTGCTATGTCGTATGAAATTCCACCGAGTCCAGTCAGAACAAAGCCAACAACAAATTACAGAAACCCAGACTGAGGAAGAAGCACACTCACGTTAAAATAAGCACCAATAACCTACCAGGAAAGCGACTACCGAGAAACAAACCACAATCGAGAACAAAGCCGCCAGCCACCGTCCCTGGCGAAACACCATTGCGCCCTGTGATGCTGCCTGGGCCCCCGCCATTGGCTGCCGGCTGCAGGGCTACAGTAACAACACCACGTGCACGGTATAGGAATGTAACATCCTAGTATGCGTCTGCCTGCTTGTGCATGCCTAAGCAGAGTGCTGTTCAGTGTTGCCTTATGTGTATAGCATGTTAAAGGATGTCGAACGCACATGCTTGATAGCCGGCTAGTATGTATGTTGTTACAGGGTGGTATAGCTTCACCAGCGGGCCCCTTTCCCGAGGCAGTTCCCTGCTCTCCCCTGCGAGAGGGGCACCCTTATCACCCTTATCACCATCATCAATCATCACGTTTCTGTTGCTCATTGCATGTGGTCAAGAAGGTTTGCCAACACTCCTCACTTCTTACAGTGAGCCTCCTCTTGAGTCTCCTCTTCGGCTAAAACATAGAAAGAAATAGTGCCTTCATCTGGGGAGGGTGGGGATGGGGATGATGGAGTTATCGATGGCTCCCTGCCCGCTGTGCACCAGGGACCGAATGTAGTTTGGTGCAGCATGACACAGCGGTGTCAGATCTGATGGGAACCTCGTGAACCTCGGGACCTACTGTGCTAGACAGACGGACCACTAGTGTAAGAAGGGTTCAGCTCCCTTGGCATCTCCCTGAGTACTCTTTGCCTGGTGTTACAACTAGTAGGCTGACTGGCTGTGTACACAGTACAACAACTAACCAACGAGTGGTGTGCAAGCCCAACACAGGAAACCTCGTTTTGTATAAACCATCATGTTATCCTCCTGACAGAGACACACACACAAACACATGCACGTCTTTAATTGCCGATGCAGGCAGCTCCGATGCTGCAGCAGGTGACGTGCCTGCACAGCAGGGCATGCAGGCGTTACCAACACGTTCCAAGGCAGCCCCGGTGGTACTCCTCCAGCCCCAGCCCCACACAGCTCCCCACTTGGCCCACCAAATCGAGGATCACACCCAGAACCGCTCCTATGAGCGACAGGAACCCTTATTGGACAATATCTCATCAGAACAAACCCGGTGGTGCCAGCAGGAGCAGCAGGAGCAGCAACAGGTCGCTAACCGCCACTTGACATCGAGTCAGGCCACTGTATCCTCCAGGGTTCATGATGGGTTTGCACTGGTCCCCGTGAAACAGAGCATAGGGGCTGCTGCTGCTGCTGGTGCATCATCCCATCAGTCAGCAGCAATAGTAATGCAGGTCCAGCATTTGCCGCAACAGGGAGCAGCATGTGGTCAAGCACTGATACTCCAGCAGCATATTGCACCAAAGGATAGCAGGAAAAAACGAGTGCATGCATTGGGAGTGCATACAGGCAGTGGAGCAGCTCCCAGCAGTCTAACATCTTCACAGCAGCCGGAGTCAACTCCTCTTCAGTCACAACTTGCTGCTGTACAAGAGCACCTGCTCCATCCCAATGACCAGCTGCAACTCCGGTTGCAGCAACTACAACAACGGAACAAGGCACTTTTGTCATGGAAGCTGCAGCAGTGCGCTGCTGGAGGTGAGGACAGAGGTAGTGATAGCAGCCTCCAGGGTACTGCTGGTGCTCCTGAGGCTGCGGGGTATGTGACACTGTCTGCCCTGCAGACAGCAATCCTGGAGACTCAACAGCTGATAGAGCAGCTGACTGGGGCTGCTGTCCAACAGCGTATGACAACCCTGTCGGCCACACCTGCACCATTTGCAGCCCAGCAGCAATCAGTGCAAAAGCAGCAGCAGGTACCATTGGCTGTGGTGGGTGTACCGCAACAGCCACTGCAAGTTGGAGCGGTGGCCACCTCATCACTGACCACAGCTGAGGGGGAGCCTCAAGTGCCAAGCAGCTGGGCCCAGCTTGGCACCTCCCCAGGTAAGGAGCCCCATAAGGAAACCCAAGGACCAGAAACTGCCCTTGGGAGCCACAAAGGCAACAGCCCTCAGCTGCAGCCTCTTGGTACAATAGTACCACCTGCAGGCTGTGGAATCGAAGGGCGTTGGTTGATATCAGGAAATCACAATCAGAATCAATCACCCGGCACGTCTCTGCTGCTCAATTCTCAGGTGGCACCAGTTCATGAGCTACAGACAATGGCGTCAACACCTTCTCTGCATACAGCCACACCACCTGCTGTTGCTTCTGCAACTGCTGCAGCTGTGGTAGTACCTGCAACCACATCTAGTACCGCTAAAGGAGATCATGTTCAGCACAGAATGGCAGAGCCATTTACATTTGAGGCAGCCTCCACTCGTGTGGGTGCACAAGACGAGGGCAGTGGTAATGTCATTGCCAACAGGGTTGTGCACGGTTTGTCCCAGTCACCATTGCACCAGTTATCCTCGCCCCCAATTCAGATGCAGCTGTTGCAGAGTCAGAAGGACGCTGCTGTAGATGAGTGGATAGCAGGCAGGGTGGCGATCGTGTGGAATGAGGGTACTCATATGGGGGCAGGGGGTGATACTGGTATGGGCCAAGGTGCTGCGGTCAATAGAGGAGTGACGCATGGTGATGGGGCTCTTTCAACAGTTGGGCCGACGCAATTGAAGCTTGATGATACTCTGGTTGTTAGGCACCAAGAGGATGGTGCAGGCAGAACACTAGGAGCTGTAGGTAGAGGCGGCAATGGGTTACTCACTGAAAAGGATTCTGGTGAGGGTGGGAGCAGGGTTGGTTCAGCGGCTGCCCTCAGAGTCAGTAAGACTGGAGGAAATATTAATTGCAGTCGATTCAAGACAGCACAGATGCTCGAGCAGCTGTCGCCAGGACGCAGATAGTGCTTACAGTCTGCTAGAATCGATGTACTTCTGAGTAGTTGGCAATTCACTATTGGTTCCTCTGGTGCATTACCTTTGTATTGGAACTGCTCATATCATATTAACCTTGCTTGAACTCAGGGGCTGGTGATGTAGGGGTTGTGTGACTTGTGAGTCACCATCAGGTTCATGCCGGTATACAGGGAGCTACATATCCATGTTGCCAGTATCTTGAAGCCTTTCTATGGCATGTGGTCGAAAATCAAACCAACTTTTCGGCCTTGTACATGATGAAGTAGCGCTACTGTAGTAGCTAGCTGGCCACAAATAAGCCCCTTTGTGATGGGAACACTCCAGCATGTATTCGTGGTCTGTCAACAGCTACATGTAATTGAATGGGCTGCATGCTGGAACTCAGTAATCAGATAGATTGGTATGTATGATGTGTGGGACAGGGGGTTCATATGTTCACCCTGTGCCCACTACCCAGCAGACCCTGCCTTCGTATTTCGGGGCACCCTTATCCGTCCCCTTGCCGTTACCCTAGCTGTCTTCTCAGTGGGTCGCTTAGGTTCAGCAGCCCCCACGGGCATCCAACGGAATCGGCCAGATCAACGGCGCCTCAACTCCATTCCTGGTCAGCTTGCAGGTCAATTTCATCCCAGGTCACCACCATCCTTCGACTAGGGACACTACTCTTACCATAGGAAGAAATTTCGACCCGGATAGGTCTCAATCCCAAAACCTCTGGGGGCATCGGGTAATGCTTTGCCAGTAGTGTCTGACCTTGTATAAAAAGCATCCTTCTATCCTTGTATATGTATGTTCTTACAGGGTGGTGTAGCTTCACCAGCGGCCTCCTTTTCCGAGGCAGTTCCCTGCCCTCCCCTGCGTGAGGGGCACCCTAATCCATTCACCCCATCCGACTTGAGAGTGTCTTCGTTGGGTTCAACAACTCACCACCAGCATCCAACCAAATCTAGCGGATCAACGGCGCGTCAACTTAGTTCCTGGTGAGCTCGCAAGTTGATTTTATAACGTCCTATACCGTCCTCTAGATGGCCCTTACACTGCAGGAGAACTCAGCCCCAGCCAACCACGGCCGTGCGACTGCGGCTCACCAGCCACCACCCGACCACCATGCGGCCCACCGACACACCTCCACGGGGCAACACGTGCGCGACAGAACAGCACACGACGCGAACCCAAGGAAAACGCCCAAAGGCTACCTGAACAAGCTCACGCATTGCGACCAAACTGCCTGAACCAAAGAAAAGGGGGGCCTAGACTGCACCAGCAACGAGCCCTAGCCTACCGGAGCTCCCCAAGGCCGCACTACTGAGCTAGGAAAAACCCAAACCGTGACGAGGGACCAACACCAACCCTCTGTCGACTCGCCGACTTTCCCGCCGCCCCTCAGCGGGCGTCTGCCACTGGCCCGCCGCTGGCCGAGCCCGGCGTGGAGATGTCTGCAATTAGCCAGCGTAGAAGCGAAATAGGGTGGTTAGGAAGCGAGGGGATAACAATCGCAGACCATGGGGGAAGGTGGGTGGGAAATGGTTAACTACAAGCTGAAGCTCTACTGAGTGAAAGGCAGAATGCCTGCAATGAAGGAGCTGAAGCGTGATATACTTGCCACTCGAATACGGTTGTACGACAGTCGCACACAACAGACTTAGAGGCTCCGATTGCTTCACTCCATTGCATCGAAGCCAACAATTCTGTGCTCTTGTCTCCCTTAACCGTCTTCTCGTGGCTCGGACTCTGACGTACTTTCTGACCGTGCTTAGAATGGTGGAGACGGGAAGCTGGGAGACCGGCTGCCATGGCCCTTACACTGCAGACAGAAGAGATAACCGCTCACCGGCGAGGCCTAGGCGGTGGGAGACCTCCAGTTTGGCCGCAGTGTCGTGCCGCGTGTAGTGCTCTACCATGGCATCTGTATGCCAGTGGCCATGTGCCTTGTGCAACTCTGCCGGCACTCCACGGTCCGCTGCCGTGCTGTTCCCGCCTATGTGCATGGAGTGCACCTTGATGTGCCGCATGATGCCTGCCAGGGATACCATTCTCAGCAGCCGTGTGTGAAAAGCCGTGTATGACAAGGAGTGCACTGGCGCCTCCCGTGTGCCAGTCAGAGGGCCCGAGAGGTATCCACCACGCTGCATCTATTGGACTGGTCTGAGGAGCGGTCCCATATCTTCATCTGCTGTCAATGGCCTTCTGCGGTAGCCCCCTTGCGCCAGCAGGCGTTCTGTAAGACCGACGGGGCAGCAGGGACCTCCGGAGCGTGCAATGACAACCCAGCGATTCTGGTGCCTCCTGCGCCAGTTGCGTGTGGAGGGCTTGGAGGTTGGCGGTGGCGTCGTCCCCCAGGGGGCCCAACAAGGCCCCTGCACGTGCCGCTAGATCTGCAGGAGGTGGGCGACCGGGTCAGCGGGGACGTGGATGCGTGTTTTGCTGGGGCAGGAGAAATGTAAGAGAAGCACCAGGGTGGCCCAAGCCGATGCACCTTTGGGGGTCGCAATGCCGTCAGGACCCGGCAAAAATAGATCCGCTGCCCGGCCTAACATCATGACCTCGTGGACAAAGGGTTTGAACCAGATGCTGTCTGCAGTGATCCTGGCCCACCAGTCCCTGGTCGACCAGTATGGTGCAATCAGGCACACGCGGGCCTTGCTCGCCTGTGTAGGTCACAAGATGTGTGTGTGTGTGTTACATGGTTGGGGGTGCGTGAACCCATAGCTGTAAAACTACCCATACGAGCCGAAGGCCCAAGGGCAATACTTCAACGCCTAAAGCCACGGAGAACAGGAAACACCGCACATCATCCCAGACTAGCATCCAAAAGGGGTAACTGGATAGGGAGGGAGGGTATTGGATCGGAACATTGACATGTTTTCTTCTATCTTCAGCTAAGGGCACATGGCCTTTAGGTGCAGCATGTTGTGTTGGCAGTCATGTGAGATAGGATGCAGATCATTCAACGTTGTGGGCCTGCTAGTGGCTGTAGGTGGGTATTGGTGTTGAACTGCTTTTCAAAAGCAGTAGTGTCTTGTATGCTAAACTGTGAAGCACAAGGATACCTTAAGCCATATAAGTAGTGCCATTCATTTCTTGCCTAGATTCAGTAGTGCCATCAGTAGTGCTTCTGGAACAGCAGCCTGGATTCTCATCCAGTCAATTAATACCTTGGTAATAAGCGAGGTATTTTGCGTGATTGATGATGTTGCTTGAGACAGCTGTGCCCAAACATCTTCAGATAAGGATGCCTCTGTTGCACACAGCAGCCCTCTCCATACCTCACTTGGAGTGGCATCCACTGGATTGAACACCTCCCCCTCTGTCACGCCACCAGCATCAGCAGCTGCCACTGCAGCTCCTCCAGTTCCCAGGCTTGCTGATTGGCACAACGTCCCCAAGTTCTGCCAGGCAGACATGCACATGAGTGGATAAGTCAGCAGTGTGGTGTACCATGAGGTCCTTCATTTTTGGGCTGTTGCATGCTCGGGTTTTAAGCCCATGTTGGCCCAATACAAGATCCAAGAATCATGGCAGACACATATTGGATGCATGAATGGGAGCACCTACCTTCCCCTTTGAGCCATGGCCACCATCCCTGCCCTCCAGAGTCTCACTGCTGTTTACAGCAGCAGTAGCAACTGCACCCGTGGGCACAGCTGCTGGCATGGCTGCAGTATGTGGCTGGTTACTGGCAGCAACACAGACATTTACTGCCCCAGTAGAGATGAGTGGAGACAGTGCTGTAGCTGCTGCTGCCTGTTGCTGACTTTGAAGATCCTCCTGTCGTTTCACCTCATCAGCAGACTTGGCCATGTTTTCCTTCTCCCTCATGAGCCTCTGTCAGCATGCGATATGGGTGGCATTTGTGACTCACTTGTATATAACAATGACTGAATTACATAATTTTGGACAGCCCTAGGTAGGGTGCTGGCCCCTGGGCCTCCAGGTCACATGGGCCCATACATGGATGTAATGGGCCCATGGGCTCTGAAGGTACCGTCAGAGTGCAAAGCAACATGTTAAGATGTAAAGCACACACACATACATATATACATACATACATATATATAGGGTTTGGCACTACTGGTAAGGCACGACCATTGCCCCCGGGAGATCCCGGGATTGATACCCATTAGGGTCTAAGTCCTTCCAATGGTGGAAGGCATTGCACCCCTAGTTGATGGACGGTGGTGACCTGGGATAAAGTTAACCTGTGAGCCGACCAGGAACGGAGTTGGGCCACTGTCGACCTGGCAGATTCCGTTGGATGCTGGTGGTGGGTGCGGAACTTGAGTGATCCACTGAGAAGTTGACTAGGGTGACTGGATGAGGGTGCCCTGATATACTGGGGAAGGCAGGGTTTTGCAGGGTAGCTGCCACAGGCGAAGATACACCCCCCTGTTTCACACATCATATTCCAACATGATTACTCGGCAAAGCCCATTATGCATGGGTACATGCTGTCAGATATTAAAGTAAAATGTGACACTAGCAACATGTCATTGCTTAAGATGTCCTACCTTCAGCTCATCTAACCATGGGCGCTGGGGTCAGAAGTACTTGGCTCCATATTTGTAACCGATTTGGCCAGGCAGAGGCTTGGGTGCCTTCTCCAGTTCAGCCTTCACCATCACAATCTTCATGTCCAAGTCCATGCTTCTGTAAGACGAGCCACACATCCACAGCACATGTTCCTTTGCCCACTGAATCAGGTAGTCCTTGAAGTTCTGCTTCTTCACCACAGACCCTAGTGCCTGTGAAAGGCAAAATGGCTCAGTACCCTGAATGAGGGTGGGCCAACAGGGAAGATGGTAGGATCATGAAGTTTGTATACACTATATAGGCACTTACTGGCTAGAACCCGGCCCAAAGCTAGCAACCCGTGGGCTAGTCAACACACAGCAGGCAGGGGCACTCCCTTGTACTCTACATACAGGATGGGGCCCCACATCTTTTGACCGCAGCAGGGTGCATGTGCAGAACACGGGTTATTTGTGTTGCGGCCCTCGTTGCCATGCAAACGGAAGGAAGCTGCTCATTGAGGAAAGGTTGGGTAATGCCGACACTGACCTCCTTTTTGTAGACGATGTCCCAGATGTCAACCGCGTTGGAGGACACAGGCGCCTCAGCCGTCATGCCCTTGTACTGTAATTGTTCACCATTGGGATGAACAGAAATACAGTGGGCGTATTTCCAGCTTAGATGTTTGATGTTTAGTTGTGCCGACCTGGCCTCTTGAATACAGTCATAAAGGTGCCCTAAGACTTCTTCGCTGGACATATTGCGACAATGATTTAAACTTTATGTAAACTCAAGGATCAAAAACGGCTGGTATGAGTTACCGAATGCTGTCGGTGTTGAGTGGCATTGTGCATGTGCGCATCACAGCTGACGACAAATTGCCTGGTAGTCTTTCGCATACAGACTAAACAATTAATTCTTGTTCTTAATTGTTTGGTATCATGTGGCCTAGCATGCTGCAGTAAGTGTGTACGGCAACGATCATCGCCGCGATGCAGGGATGCGACCGTATTCGGTTTGGCCGTCTGGCGTAATAATGGACCTCAAATTAGGCGTATTGCGTATTAATACGCCGGGGTTCACGCCATGCCGTATTACAATACTCGTGACGTATTCCTTTTGCGCTATTCCGTCAGGGAATTCATGTTTTTCGCTTTTACAATGAAAGGCGTATTGCTTTAGTGTTTGGAAAACGATCTCTCACAAGATAAAATATGAATTTGGGCAACAGCCAGACCTGGACAGCCATCGAGCCATGTGCGCACACATTCGCGTCTGCATTCTAGCATTCCTAACAAACCGTGATTACCGTAGTCTTACTTATACGCGACGTTACAAACTGTGACGGGCCTGGCCGAGAGGGGTCTGACATTTCTTCGGTTTAAAAGCGAATGGCGACCAAAATATCCGAAAGTATGGTCCACATTTCTCCGTTACAATATGAATGGCGGTCGTCGCGGCCCACCGCCCCAGGGCCCCGATAGCGGAGAACTGCACCAGCAGCAGCCATGCAAGCAAAGCTGAAATGCACTTCGTTTGCGACTCTGTGCGCACACGCCATACGAGGCTGACATGTTCCTTCGTTGCCATCAGTGCAAGGCACAGCACTTGCACCCGGCGCACATGGCTCCACATAAACTTGCACTGACAAACCGATGGCGACACCCTAGGGCCAAAAGCTGGTCCGGATTTCTACACTTCTTGAATGGCGAAAACCGCCATTAGTTTGTAACGTCGCGTATTAGTAAGACTACGGTATCACAAATATTACAGCCCAAATAGAGATAGCTTGGGTGTCAGGCCAACACCACAGACGACAGACCACACCCCCCCTCGCCAACCCATGTCGCCTCTGGGTTCAGCTGGCGCTGTAACGCTGAGCGCCAGGCATCCTACACCAACAATATCGATTAAGAAGTTAGTAAGAACGACGGGATAACACCTGTTTTGACGCTCTTGAGAATACACCAGGGGCCCGCCTTGGAACTGCGAACCGCTTCACTCGTTCACTCCCAAATCCTGAAACCCTATGTTGATTTTCCGCGTTTTGCTTCGCGCACGTTTTCCATTTCGCGGGTTGATATTACAACAAGGTAAGTTGCAAACCCAATGATAAGCGAACCTATTACCTAATCCTAAGTATCAACTAATGACACCAATGACTCGGGAATGTCAATAGCTCGATATTTCTCAAAATCGGCACGTTTTCAGACTGTACGACAACCTCACGACAAACATTACGCCGACAATACGCCAACAATACGCCAACACATAAACAGCCCAACTGGCTGGCGTATTCGGCGTATTAATACGGCCGTATTAGCTGGCGTATTAATCTGGAATACGGTCGCATCCCTGTCATCGCGAATGTGGTGGAATCCTTACACAAAGGTCATAGTATAATTCAAAATAACGCATTTTTAAGCAGCCCCTCGCACAAATGTGTCCGGTCGTACTGTGCCCAAAAACAGTTCGTACATCGTCCCAAAAGAATTTTCTTTCGAATTTTGCCGTGCGGATGCGCGCGTGCGATTCGCAAAATGCGCCTGTACAAGTGTATATAAATTTTCTTGGCGGAAAAGGACCAGGTGCGCCAGCGCGTTGCGCAGGTGGGCATGTTGGCCATAGCCGCACGCGGCATGCAGGCTGGACAATTGCGTGGATGCTTTGCAGTAACTAAAAGCACCGAAAGCCAACGTCGTAGCTTGCAACTCTGGGCTCGTGAAACTGCCGCGGAAGATGAAGCGCTGGCGAAGAGGCAGTTGTATGCAGCACCTTGTTCAGAGTAAAGTCAAATTACAAAGTTGCGCAAAGTATAACATACATAAACTTAATTAAATATAAGAGCAGATAAGACGTTTAGAGCCTTGTCGGTGACATGGACGCCGGTGTTGGCTTGGAACAGCTATTTGCTGTGCATAGGGACGTGCCCGCGTTAGCCGTGTTGCAACAGCTCAGGATGGATTTCAGCCAGCAACAGCCTCAAGAGCTGCTGCACAACCACCGGGAATGTCTTCAGTTGGGCACGTGTAGTTTTGGTCGGCGGGGTCGAGCAACGTACGCAATGCGCACAGAAACCAAGGTGCAGCGTTCTGTAACATCGCCAACATATCCGGTACGCGGTGGCAGGCTTGCCGAGCACGAAATGAAGGGGGGGTCGCATCTCACCATTCAACTAAGCATGCATGTGCTCGGTTGAATGCTCGGTAGCGTGCGAGTTTACCCCTATCAGGATGTTTGTTTGCATATCCCCCCAAGCGAGAGGGCTTGCACCTATGCTGATGTTCGTTCCAAGAAGTGAACTGAGGACTGATGCTACGGTGAAAGATTTGCACGTAAATTCGCCCGTGCAATAAAACGCCCTGTAACTCGCTTACGCTAATCTCACATTCCAATATGCCACTGCACTTTCCTCTCCAGCCTGGCCACAATCTCTTCCTCGCAAACATACTTGGGCACCTTACAATCCAACACCATACATGCTTTGAAAACGCGGGCAGCTGCTTCACAAGGACCCCCCTATTCATAACAAGCTTGGATATTCTGGTGTCATATGAACGGCGGTAGGGATGTACGGTGCGACTACGGTAAAAAGGAAGGTACTGATTGGCATACACCGCCAAATTATAATGCATCTGCAATCCTATGACAATTTTGTATACTTCTGCTGAATGGCCCCATCACGAGCTCCCCCACCTGGCGACGGTTATGTGGGTTGCCCAACTCCACAAACAAAATCATGCCATAACTGGTTAATACTTATATTTGCCTTTGTTCTAGCATCACTGCTTCTCTTAACCTGGTTTATGGCTCCATCAGGCGAGAAGGGCCATGCTTACTGCTTGTGCCAGCTGTGTGTCCCAAACATTTTGGAAAGTGCTGGTGACCCAGTACTTCGTCCTATGCGGATGGTGTATCATCATAACCAAGATGCCTTTCCTGTTCAGAAGACCAAGCAACGGAGAGAGCCATACTTCTTGCCTGTGGGTACACCTGTGGTGGAGGTCCAGGACACTGCTCAAGGGCTGAAGGATTCTCTTCTGTGTGTACAGCAGCCGCCCTGCAAGCTGCTGGGTCAGACACTCCAACAAGCACATAGAAAGTGCAATTAACCAGGTAGGCAGTACATCTCCAGCTGCTGGTCCCAGTTCTGGTGGTGCTGCAGCAGCTCAGGGTAATGAGAAGCCCAACAATAATGCTTGTATAGAGACATATCCCTTACCTCCACCACCTCCAGGCCACATTGCATCACTGGCAGATCCTCTGCCAGCACATAACGATGCAGGAAAAGTTGCAGCCATTCAGGACGCATTTCCAGCACCCCAAAAGCCTGGTGATGGTGACGGAGGAAATCACATGCGGTGCTTTGGAACATGGACTCCCAGTGGAGCACGCCAGGGTGACTGGAGGAGTTGCAACAGTGATCCATCTGTAGAACCGCTGCTTCAAGGCATGGAGCAAGATGTACTGAATGCGGTTCTCCATCGGTTTAAGCATAATGCATCTGGTGAAGCTGTTATTGATCACCTTAGGTTAGTGATGACTCAAAGTGGTGCATCCTACTCAGTTCCTGAGCAGCTACATCCCAAGGAGTATCGACAGTGCCTCACATTCCTGGAGCAACGTGGTATCCTGGAGGGGAAGCCATTTGTTGGATATGACCTGTGCCCTTGTGGATTTCTGTACCGTTCTACTGATAAGGGGCAGACTTCATGTATATGCTGTTGATGTTGTTACAGGGTGGTTAAGCTTCACCAGTGGCCTCCTTCCCGAGGCAATTCCCTGCTCTCCCCTGCTGTTGTGGCACACTTGCATATTAACCCTCGGATCTTTTCCCAATTCTCTGGCACTTTGCCGCTGGGCAATATCTTCGCTCTTACTTGGTTAACCATTGGGCACTTGCCTATCTTTAATTGGGTGCTGGTCCATCTTTAAGCGGGCACTTGCCTGTCTTTATCACGCATGATACTGGATTATAGTGCTCTTGCTATAATCGTGACACTTGTCACTGGTAGACCCACTTGAGTTACGATTGCACCGATTGGTGATAATTCATGTTGATGACTATATCTTCGGACAGTACAGACATCTGTACGGGTCATCCTAACGCAGAGGCATTTAGTCTCTTCTCATTCACTAATCGGTAGTTTTTACTACCACCTAAACAGTGGAAGTGGATACAACAAGTGGTATTGAGATGTTCGGTCTCGACCAGCTCTTCGTTAGCCAATGTCAGAGGCTTACAGTGTTGGAGCGCTCGTGGCTGCTCTTCAGGGTAAGTGAAAGATCGTAACCATCTGTATTGTTTTGTCCTTGGTTGCATTGCCCATTGTGATCGCAGAGGTTAGAACGGGTGCGGCGGACCCAACCGAGGTAGAGCCGCCTCCTCAAGCCCTTCCCTTATCCACGGTAGTGACCACACCGTTATTACATAAGGGTAGGCCCTTCTTATTTTAGCTAAAATGTTTAACTCCGCTCCGTTAAATCTGGGCGGCGACCATAATGGTGTAGACATGGCATCGGGCGCACTTGATGCTCACTCCACTTTGCCTGCCTACACTGTTGCGGGACTTGTTTCTGACCCCGGTGCACCTAGTACTTCTAGAGGTCCGGGCGGCCCTATTGAGGTCCCTGTTGCTGTTCGCGAACCTGATGTGTGAACGCCATTCTCAACTTTTGCCGCAGCACCTTTGTTGCATATGCCCACTGGGGCTGCTGAGAATGTTCATTTGAGGCCTGGTGATGAACGTCTCAACTCC